CTGTCATAATTTCTTGGGTTCAATTTTGAGTCTTTGTTTTAGACCCTTGTGTTTAGGAAACACATCTGAGGCTTGTATAAGTTATATTTAACTTTTTAATTAACAGGGAGGAGTATCATGGATTGAATTGTGTCTCCCAAAATATGAGGATGTAATACTGTTTAGGAGGAAGATTTTCTTTGTTGTGTTAATGAGGCCACAACAGTGCAGGGTTTGTCTTAAGTCATTCACTTTTGAGATATAGAAGGAGCTGACTCAGCACATGGGCAAGCAAGAATGGGCCAAGATAGATGCCACATGGAAATCTCCAAGGAATGCTCAGAACACTAGAGAAATTGAAACAAGGAATCTTTTTCCCCAGAGTGAATGGAGAGAGGCTTCCTGTAGAGCTGGCACCCTGAATTCAGGCTTCTAGCCTCTTAAACTGTGAGAAAAAAATTTTTGTTTGTTAAAGCCACCAACTTGTGGTACTTCTTTTATAACAGCACTAAGAAACCAAGACCAACACGGGGGAAATAAGCTGCGACGGCGCTCTCTATCTAAATTCTGCCTTTCTTAATCTCTTCCTTCACAATGCTCACCTTCTTCCAGAAACAAAACAAAACAAAACCATTTTCAAACCAGTCGGTGATAGTGTGGGAGCAGCTATGGTATGTAGAGCAAGAGTTAGAAAGCCTAGCTGGAAACAAAGAGAAAAGTTCAATCCAAATTGGAACCTGTGATAGTGTGCCAGCCCACAAAAAGGGTACCCAATGGAATGATTCACATTAGCTGCAAAAAAGATTGATTAACTGATTATCCATCCATTTCCACACCCACCCACACACCCACCCATCTATCCACCCATTCCCCACCCCCCATCCCCCTCCATCCATCCATCATTCTAGCCAAAGTTGTCTGGAGACAACTCAGGCATTTCTGTTATGTCTTAAGTGATGCCCTTTTGTTTCTGTTGGAGTCGCCCTTAACTATACCTAAATCCTGGAGCAGATGGGAAACAAGCAAAACATTCTTGCTTTCAGTTAAATATACACACCCCTAGATGGGGCCTTTGTATCCAGCCTTTGTACCCTTCAATTCCTCCAGCCTTCAATTTCACCAAGTCAATTCCACTTAATGGATCATCTCAGGCACTTTTGTGAGCTGCAGTGTAATGAATTACTTAGTATGGCCCTTCTAGCCATGGTCTTTGTGACTCATACAAATAAGATATATATAAGATATATAGAACCTGTGATGATATGTCAACTTGGCTCGGCTATGATTCCCAATATTGTGTTGTTTGTCTAGGCCATGATTCCCAATATTGTGTTTTTGTCCTCCATTTTATGTGTTGTGAATCCTGACTTCTATGTGTTGATGAGGCAGGATTTGTGTAGGGTGTGTCTTGTGCCCCAGCCTTGCAGGAGGGTGTGAATCAAGTCCCACCCTTACTAAAGTTACCCCCTTCCTTGGGGTGTGGCCTGCATCTAAGATACATGTGTTGTGTCCTGGCGAAGCTCTCTCTTTCTCTGCATCTGGGTCCTGCTTCCAGTTTGTGATCAACCGACCTTCAATTCTTGGAACTCAAGACAGAGGCCTGCTGTCTGATCTGCCAATTCTGGGATTCACGAGCCTCACAGCCCCTTGGGCCGGGTGCCTATTGTGTGACCTGATTCACCAGCTTCTGCAGCCTTGTGAACCAGCAGCCTGTCGTCTGAACTCCCAGTTTGGGTTTGTTGGCCTCTGCACCCACGTGGGTCAGGAGAAGCCTAGGCCTGACCCATGAATTTGGGACCTCCCAACTTCACAACCATGTGAGCCATTTCCTTTATACAGTTTGTGAATTTTGTGAGATGCTGCAGTGAATTAGGGAGCCCAAAGACAAGAGGAGGCAGAGTACTGAGGGGTGAGGGAGTAGTTGATGTTAAAGATGATGAAGTGGTACAGCAGGTTGGAAAAGAAGCACATTTGTGACATCTTTAACCTCCACCTCATAAGAATCAGCTTTGTGCTGATCCTTATAAAATAAATTATTCATTTATAAGCAGGGAAATTTTCAAATTCTTTAGTGTGGCCTTTTATGGCCTCCATTCCCCCAACGCGAGACCTCTATGTCCAGGCTGACCAATCCATGGTCTCCTGATGCACACGGTTTGCACATCAGGGGGAAGCCTGTGAACCCAGCATATATATATGGAAAGCATTTTCTCTAAATATATCCATGCCCGGCCTGTTATTTGGCGTGGTAAGGCATCTGGGAGAGATCTGAGTTATTTCCTAATCATAGCAGTTGCAGTCTCACTTCAAGTCTCCCATTCTGTTGATGCTGTGATGCAGTACAAATTATTATGCTTAGTGATTTTGGGTGCACAGTGCTAGTCTCTGAAGAAGAGAGCTAGCATGGTGGGAAGTGCACTGGCTTCAGAGTCTGAAGCAGCAACTTCTAGCCATATGTTGACATTCTTTTATCATACTTTTAATATATCAAATCTGAGCTCTCTCTGTGATATTATAAAAAAAATCCTAGACTGATTTGTGGTGATTGCTAGATACAGATTTAAATTCAAATATCCAAATAGCAAAGTATTTGTCCAAGGTGGTTCCCTCAGCATGGAACCAACCCTGCCCATATTTGGTTTGCCTGTGCTTCCTCTCACATCCTGTGCTAATTCCACCAGAACACTCAGTCCATTGTGTTGTCCTTGCCAGTTTCCTTGTCTCTCAACTAGACTTTGAGAACTTTGAGAAGAGGGACCATCTTCTTCACCAGAGTGCCTGGCAAAAGTGGATGTTCAAGTATTTGCTGAATGACTACTGGACACTGTTTCCACCCAAATTAATTGAGGATGTTTTGCCATAGTTACTGATGGAATATTCACTTTCCAAATTTCTTACGCTAGTCTACAATGTAGTGTGCAATGCCTCAACATTTATACAAATATTCCAAGGTTTTCATTTTGTTACTGATAATTCAATTATTTTAATATGTAAAATGAAGGTTTACAGACCTTTGTTGGTTGCAAACATATTAACCTTCCACCAACCCTAAACCATATCCCAATCCCACTCCCTCCACCTCCCACCCAACAGCCCCACCTTATACTCTAATGAAAACGAGGATAGAGATGACATTCCCACTGTGAGATTCTTCGTTTGATGGGTAAAGAGGTGAGGTAGGCTGAACCTCACACGCTGTGCTCATCCTTCCAGGGATCTTCCACAAGGCTCCTGGATGACCTCAACAAGGAGCCCAGATGGCAACTACCAAATAGTTATTTCTTGCCAGCTCTAGAAGTACACACAATAAAAATATCTATGCCCATTTTTTAATACTTAAATGGGCCTAGATTTAATTCATTAAAAGTAAAAATATAGATGAGGCCAATTCTCTCTTCAAAGGGCCTGTTTTTGACGTGTCAAGGTGTTTTGCTCAGATTTTTGTATTTTGTCTCAGAGTACCTAAGCAGTGTCAAAGAGAAAAATTAGTGACATCTTGCTTTTTTAAGGTTTCTTCTCTTACCCACAAAACCAAAATTTTAACAGCCAGGCCAGAGACCACTTTATGACCTGATAAAAGTTGATCTCAGTAAAAAGGGGGAGAACAGGGTTACATAAATCACGTTAAGATTAGCCAAAGGTTGATCTTCTAATCTTCTTCCTCTTATTATTTTTATAAGTCTCATTGTAACTAGACTACTTTGAACGATTTTCTTTTTTGGGGGGGAGATCAGAATGGTCTCCTTATATCCTTATATGCATATAGAATTACCTGGTGTTTTAATTTTTATGAATTTTTACTACTTTTAACAGCAGTAAGTATGTCTTCTTACAATGTTGCTCCTCCCCACCCCCATGCTGACTTATCGATCAAACGACAGGGCATTCAAGGAGGATGAAGAGAAAGTGACTTGGATATTTCTTCTTTTCCCATGCATACTAATCTTTTTGAATATCCTGAGAAGTTAAACTTTGATGTCCAAAAATAGTTGTAAAATCATGACTTGTAAAAGGAACAGTAGATATGCTGTCTGCTATAACTGCTTCCAAAATAGGGCTGAAAAAACTCATCTCAATACAACTAAAACCGGGAGGCATTAAATAACAACAACAGCAACAAAACCCCACACATTTTAGACAATAGGGATAACAGATTAAAAACAACATGAAGTGATTTATTGAGAAATTGACCACTTAGATGAGTAATATCACACAGCAATGTCAGATAATCTTCAATATCAGATAATTTTCAGGTTTCATCAGTCTACTGTATGCCTTTAAATTTTAGCTTTACCTAAAAATAAAAATCATTTTTAAAGTAGTTCAATCAATTCACTTGGGGGCACAGAATAATAGCTTCAGTCCTGGTCAGATCTCTAAAAATCATAGATTTAAATGTAGGTGTGTGTGTATGTGTGTGTGTGTGTGTGTGTGTGTGTGTGTGTGTGTATTTTAACTGAAACTATCAAGGCAGAGGGTAAGAGGGAATTTAGATGCATACAGATCTTGTAGATTTATCTCAAACCTTGGGAGAGGGAGCATGCATTTTTCTCAGGGCACAAATCTAACAGTCAATGTGAATGTAGGTAGCATGTCCTTTGGGAACTGAGTCTCACCAAAGGACATCATCTCCCCAAGGGGACAGCACCTGCAGCCCTGGAAGGGAGCCCCTGGGGAGGGAGCCAGGCTGTTTCTGGGCCAGGACAGCAGAGGTGACATTCATGGCCTGGTGTCCTCCACATCAGCAGTGCTGCTCTTCTCAGCCACAGCAGCAGAAGTAGAGGATTCAGCAGGCCCCTTCCTAATCTCCCCTTCTCCTCCCTGGGAATGTTGGGCCCAGGTGCCAGGCACCAGCTGCCGGCAGCGGCGTGGGTTGTTGGGGCTGCAGGATCCACAACACCATGGGGTCTTCTGGCGGGGACAGCCTGCGACACGCCAGCTCTCCTTGTCCTCCAACTCCAGCTCTTCAGAGGCATCTGGTGAGGGTTCCAGGGGAGCGGTGCCTGGGCCCCTAGGGTGACTCAGCAAGTAGCTGGGGCCTGGTCCCTGTTTTTGTGAACCTCAGGCCCTGCGGCCATGAAGGGACCAGGCAGCTGGGTGGCCCACCGTCTACTGGTGGGCTGGAGGTGCCCAGGGGGGCGAGCCACTGCTGGTGCCCCGCAGAAGGGCAGGAAGTGCTTCAGGCTCTGGTTTTGGGGGTGGCTGGAGAGGCAGCGCCTCAGGATCTGGGCCTCAGAGAAGCACACAGTGAAGCCCTTGCCTCTGCCGTTGTCTTTGTCTTCCTTGTGTTTGTCCGCCTTCTCCTCATCCTTGGTGCCCCAGGGGTCGCGTGGTGGTACATGGCGGCAAATGTAGAAGTCACTGCGGAAGCGGGGGCAGTTGGCTGCATATTGGCTGCCTTCCACTGAGGTGCCATCTGGGCCGGTCACCTCGGTGCCCCGCTCACCCTGCACCACATTGAACTCCATTGTCTGGCCGTCGTCCATGCTGCATTGGTACTTGTGAGGGTTGTTCCGGGTGATGGCTGTCTGGTGAATGAACACATCTTCCTGGGTATCATGCCTGCTAATGAAACCATACACATTCTTCACTTTAAACCACTTGACAGTGCCTCGAACCCTCTTGGCGATGACCCTTTTTGGTACCTTTCCCTTGGAACCCACAGCTGTGGTGGCCTTGGAGATGGTGGTGTCCACTCTGAGGTTGCCTGCAACGAGGGCCCAGGGAGGGTCTCCACCTCCCAAGGACACCAGGTGCTTCTGTGCAGCTTGTGGGGAGGTTGAGGCAGCTGCCTCCGTAGGAGTGGCCTCTTCCATCTCACTCATGAGGCTCTCCTCCTTTGGCAGAGAATCGGGAGGCGGCCTACCTCAGGGAGGGTCGCAGGTCAGGGGCCAAGGACCTTCTAGCCTTTCTCTAAGACTCACTGAGGGGCCCATGCAGTCTCCCAGGGCAACAGGACTGGAACATAACAGTGACCTCTGTGGTGACGTCTCAATGGAGTCCTAGAGGGGGACTTGAGCTAGGAGGCGGGGTTAGGTGGGGCTAGGCGGGGCAGGTTTGCTATGCTCAGAACTCCTCCCACCACATCACAGTACAGCTTAATCCATCCTGGAGAGGGGGCAAAGTTGATGCTCTAGGGAGTGGTCTCCTTGAAGACCCTCTCCCTTGAATTGATATGAAGAGGGAGCTCACCCTTCATATCTCTCCCTTAGTTGGGAGGACTCACTGTTTTCCAAGTGCACTCTCTAAATATCATTTCGAAAAACCCTCCTCTTCCAACCCCTTGGGTGCCCCCATGTGGGTAATACATTTTAGGTTACCTGAGAGGAAACAAAATGACTAGATACCTGCTATTAGTTTCCCTCAGAGGGACAGAGAAAGCCTGCCAGGATTAGAATGTTAGTACTGAGAATGTACTAAATTCACGCAGCTTCATCCAGGCTACGATTAGTGCAGTGAAGCTGAGTGGGAACCCTTTTGTAACTAGAAGATTCTGAAAACCCTATTGAGGTTCTCTGTACACATGCTCAGAGAAAATAGAGCTGAGGGAATGATTGATTGCAGATCAAAACTGTTGTGTGTGTGTTTAAATGGCTGTTGACTGTGATCTTCATCCTAAATTAGGGTTCCACTTCAATTTAATTATATAGAAAGCTTAATAATTCACTCCTAACTGCAGAGCTGATGCTGTACTAAGGTACAGCTAACTCTCTGAAATATAACCATTCTAAAGTGATGACAGAGTATGTTAAACTAATAGGTATTAACTGGTCATAAAACACTGTTTTCATTTATCAATTAAAAAAAAATAAGGAAAATTGGCCTAGCACTTTAGAGTTTACAAAGACCTTTCACATGCTGTGCATTTAAACTTTGCAACCACTCTGTCTTTAAATGAGACAAGGTAGATGCTACTTTTACTTCAGTTTTGCAGACGAGGGAACTGGGGCCAAGAGACAGGAAATTGCTTGCTTAAGGTCACATATTTAGAGTGGGGTGAACCCCAAAATCTGATTCCGAATAGGTTTCACTCCAGAGCCAGGTATCTTTCCATCAAACTGTATGATTTAGCCACTCATTTCATGCAATCTCACAGGCCAGGGACCTTTCTCAGAGAGGTCATGTTCCTGCACATCCCAGCAGAGAACCCCAGAAACACCTCTCTCAGGACTGACATATCAACCCTGTGTCCAGACTCCCAGGCCTGGCCCTCTTCAGGGGCAAAAATTGCCTTCATCTCAGCTAATCAGCACTCCCACCACCACCACTTCCATTCCCATATAAAGTAATCTAACGCTTACAGCAGACTAGAAAATACACCCTGCTGCGGACTCAGGAGTATTTTCTTTGCTATGCCAATGTAGTACAGCATGGAAGAAAGGATCTTGATTTTGATTTTACTCTTTAAAAACACACCTCTTCAGGCATCTTCTATTGTAGTTTTAACAACAAATATGAGAGCAGCAAGCTACTATCCATATCTTCACATGACAGTGAATACGCCAGGGGATGAAGAGACTAAGAAACCTAACCAAGACCACCAACTTAGTAAGTGCATAGACAGGAAAAATCCTTGGCTCTTCTGGCCCTCGGGTTGCTTGTTCACTATGCTCTCCACATCCCCATGAAGCTACTCCTACGACATCTTTAATGGCACTTGCTTTCAAGTCCAGATAGCTCCCCTTGATGCTTCCCACGTTTGTCATGCCCATTCCTATCTGAAGCCTTTCTTCACTTTTTCCTTGTTCTCCTAGGTATACCTTTTCCTTCTCCCCTCTGTGTAAATGCCCCTTGCCATTACAGGCTCAGTTTTGCAACACCCTCCTGCACTGCTTCCAGATGCACCAGTCCACCTTGATCTTCTTCTTCTCTGAAATATAGTTGCATTTATAGCACCTTGATGGATGGCTTGCTAATTTTCCTCTACTTTCTTTTTTTTTTAATTTTTTCCATACAAAAATTTAAACATAGATTGTTACGTGACTGTAATTGCTCTCCCCATACTGTGACAGCACACTCCTCCTTTCCATCCCTGATTCTCCAGGTCCATTCAACGAGCTCTTAACCCTCTCTGCCTGCCCATCTCACCTCCAGACAGAAGCTGCCCGTTTAGTCTCTTGTATCTACTTGAGCCAAGAGGCACTCTCCTCACGAGTATCACTTTATGTTCCACAGTCTGGTCCAATCTCTGTCTAAAGAGTTGGCCTCGGAAATTGTTTTACTTCTGGGCTGATAGAGAAACCAGGGTCCGTGCTTTCCAGGGTTCCTCCAGTCTCAGTGAGACCATTAAGTCTGATCTTCTTACTAGAATTTGAGTTCTGCACACCACCTTTCTCCTACTCCATCTAGGACACTCTGTTGCGTTCCCTGTCAGGGCGGTAATTGGTGGCAGCTGGGCACCATCTAGTTCTTCTGGTCTCAGGCTGAAAAAGGCTCTCTTTTATGTGGCCTTTTCTGTCTCTTGGGCTAATACTTTCCTTGTATCTTTGGTGTTCTTCATTCTCCTTTAGTCCAGGTGGTTGGGACCAATTGATGCATCTTATATGGCCGCTTGCAAGCTTTTGAGACCCCAGACGCCACTCACCAAAGTAGGATGCAGAACATTTTCTTAATAAGCTTTGTTATGCCAATTAACATAGATGTCCCCTGAAAGCATGGTCCCCAGACCCCGCATCCCTGCTACTCTGTCCTTCAAAGTGTTTGATTGTATTGAAGAAACTTCTTAGCTTTGATTTAGTCCAGTTGTGCTGACTTCCCCTGTAGTGTGTGCTGTCCTTCCCTTCAGCTAAGATAATTCTTATCTACTGTCTAGTTAGTAAGTAACCCTCACCCTTCCTCCCCACCCTCGTAACCATCAAAGAATGTTTTCTTCTGTGTTTAAAACTTTTCTTGAGTTCATATAGCAATGGTCTTATACAATATTTGTCCTTCTGTGACCGACTAAATTCACTCAGCGTAATGACCTCCAAGTTCTTCCATGTTATAAGATGTTTCACGGCTTCATTGTTGTTCTTTACTGTTGCGTAGTATTCCATTGTGTGGATATACCATAATTTATCCATTTGTCCAATGATGGGCACCTAGGTTGTTTCCATCTTTTTGCTATTGTGAACAGTACTGCAATGAACATGGGCATGTTTGTATCTATTCATCTGACGGCTCTTATTTCTTTAGAATACATTCCAAGGAGTGGGATAGCTGGATCGTATGGTACTTCTATTTCTAACTTTTTAAGGAAGTGCCAAATCGATTTCCAAAGTGATTGTACCATTTTACATTCCCACCAACAGTGTATAAGTGTTCCACAACCTCTCCAGCACTTATTACTTTGTGTTTTATGGATGATTGCTAGCCTTGTTGAGATGAGATGATATCTCATTGTAGTTTTGATCTGCATTTCTCTAATGGCTAATGATCGTGAGCATTTCTTCATGTGTCTGTTAGCTGCCTGCATATCTTCTTTGGTGAAGTGCCTGTTCATATTCTTTGCCCATTTTTTAATCGGGTTATTTCTCTTTTTGTTGTTGAGGTTTTGCAGTTTCTTGTAGATTTTAGAGAGTAGAACGCTGATCGGATTTGTCTTAGCCAAAAATTTCTTCCCAGTCTGTAGGTTGTCTTTTTACTTTTTTGGTGAAGTCTTTTGATGGGTATAAATGTTTGATTTTCAGGAGTTCCCATTTATCTAGTCTCTCATTTGGTGCTTATGCATTGTTACTTATGTTTCGTATTGTGTTTATGTCATGTACTAGGTCTCCTAGAATTGTCCCTATTTTTTCTTCCATGATCTTTATTTTCTATTTTATATTTAAGTCTTTGATCCATTTTGAGTTAGTTTTTGTGCATAGTGTGAGGTATGGGTCTTGTTTCAGTTTTTGCAGATGGATATCCAGTTATGTCAGCACCATTTGTTAAAGAGACTGCCTTTTCCCCAATTAATGGACTTTGGGCCTTTGTCAAATATCAGCTGCTCATAGGTGGATGAATTTATGTCTGGATTCTCAAATCTGTTCCATTGGTCTGTGTATCTGTTGTAATAGCACCAGGCTGTTTTGACTACCATGACGGTATAATAGGTCCTACAACCAGGTACTGTGAGGCCTCCCACTTTGTTCTTCCTCTTGAGTAAGGCTTTAATTATTCGGGGCCTCTTCCCTTTCTATATGAAGTTGGTGATTTGTTTCTCCATCTCATTAAAAAAATGCCCTTGGAATTTGGATCGAGATTGCATTGTATCTGTAGATCACTTTGGCTAAAACTGAGATTTTCACAATGTTAAGTCTATCTATCCATGAGCAAGGTGTGTTTTTCCACTTATTCAAGTCTCTTTTGGTTTCTTGCAGTAGTGTCCTGTATTTTTCATTGTATAAATCTTTTACCTCTCTGGTTAGATTTATTCCTAAATATTTTATCTTCTTGGGGGCTATTGTAAATGGTATTGATGTGGTGATTTCCTCTTTGAGGTTCTCTTTGTCGGTGTAAAGGAATTCAACTGATTTTTGTATGTGTATCTTGTATCCTGAAACTTTGCTGAAATCGTCTATCAGTTCCAGTACTTTTCTTGGGGATTCTTTGGGGTTTTCTGCATATCTTCTGCAAATAGATATACTTTGACTTCTTCCCTACCAATTTGGACACGCTTTATTTCTTTTTCTAGCCTAATTGCTCTGGCTAGGACCTCCAGCACAATGTTGAATACGAGTGGTGATAAAGGGCATCCTTGTCTGGTTCCCGTTCTCAAGGGGAATGCTTTCAAAGTCTCTCCATTTAGGAAGAAGCTGGCTGTTAACTTTTTAGAAATGCCCTTAATTATATTGAGGAATTTCCC